TTTTTTTTTTTTTTTTTTGCGGGGGTGACGGGAAGAACTGGCTTCCGCGTCTCGCCCGCTGGCGCCTTAATCTTCAAGAATCCGTCTCGTACAGGGTGGAGTTTCTTGTACCTATTACCTAGCTTTGTAAGACTGAAAAAAATGCCTCCTGTTACTTAGTACAACGTGGCGTGCGGTTAATACTTTTTCCGGAAGCGTTTATGGACTTGATGTTAAAATTGACTTTATTTATAATGTTTTGTGTCTGAAACCGGTTTGTTACAGAACTGCATGTATTTATAATAGTTGAAAACCGGTGACGAATTTTGTGATGTGCTTTTAGGAAAATCTGACTAGTGAGAGAAGAAGTCTCAGGTTGTTTGAAAATGTAACTCGTCTTCAAGTTTAAATACATTCCTTGGCAGCATAAATTCGTGCGGAACTGTGAACAACTCTATGGATTGTTCATACGAAATTGTGTCGTTCACTATGAACTTATTCTTAGAGTCTAAATAATATTAAAAATATTCTTAAATTCTAAGTGTTAGGTAAATTCTTCAGTTAGATAATTCCTAATTAGGTACATTCTAAGTATTAGGTAAATTTGATTATTTTTATTTTCCATCTAATGAATTAATTCTATCTTGAAATTCAGTCTTGACAGAAACTTGGGGATTTTTTTTTTTTTTAACGTTGAACTCGTCCGTTCTTCAGTGTGCGTTTGTAAACGTTGACATATTGAACAAAAGAAAAGTTAGTTTCGCGTAAATCTGTTAAACGCAAGAAGCTGACAAAACTATATTTCTGATTACTGAGGTGTATTTGTTTAGGGGTGGTGAAGAGATGTTACCAGCTTCCAGAAAATTGAAAATATTAAAATTACATGGCAAGTTAATCCTTAATTGTATAATAAATATCAAAAGCAGATTTTCTATGGAGTATCTTTGGTTTTAGCTGTTCTCTCATTTTATTGTTACTCCTATTCTTTCGTCATAAGACATTTTTCTTTATGGACAGTGTCATTTTTGTGCTATATTTGTACCTTAACAATATTGATCAGGTATTGTAATAGAGATTTTGATGATGAGAAGATCCTTATACAGCACCAAAAAGCAAAGCATTTTAAATGCCATATATGTCATAAGAAATTGTACACAGGACCTGGTTTAGCTATTCATTGCATGCAGGTAAGGATTCTTTTTTCATATTTAATTTTTGCTCCCTTGTAGTTTGGAAACATGAAAAAGAAATCTGGAATTTCTTTGACAGCTGTGGAGTTTTTTTTGCTTATTGCAAAAGATCAAATAAGATGGCCAGTCAGCTTAAAAAAAATTGTTCTTTTTAGCCATCAAGTTAAACAATTGATTTTTTACGTTTAAAGAGAGTTTATATTGGTATTTATTGATATCTTTCGTCTTAGATTGGTGACAGATTGAGATCATAAAATATCTGCTCAGTACTTGGGTTAGAGAACAGGAATCAGTGATTTAAGTTGTGGGCAGTCTGACCAATTCTAATTCCATAAGAATTAATACATAATTAGCTGTGTTACTGCCATTTGAGGGATTTGTATAGTCTGTTGCCTGGGGCTAGGCTTATTTCAACAATTTATTCCGCGGCTCTCTTGGAGCATTGTGTTTCATTTAATAGTTTCTAGGTTTCTTGAGTCCTTTCACTATTAGGTAGAGAGAGCTTTGTAATTTATAGTTTTAAAAAATCTAATGAGTACCTTTATGTCTCCTTCAACGTTATTTCTTCTACTTTTGCCAATCCTAGAGCTGCCTGAATTTTTGCTTAATTGGACCCTAGAGAGATGTGAGATGAGCAAATCCCTACTCATTGGAAACTACTGTTGGTAGGAGGCAGGGAGGTAAATTAAAACAAAACGTTGCTTCCCCAAGTTTAAAAATAAGTTTATATAGATTCTTTTCACTTCAGTTATGTCACTATAACAGCAATTTAATATCCATTCAGAAATAATTGAGAACTTACTACATGCTAGACCGGCAACTTTTTTTTTTTTTTTAAAGATTTTATTTATTTATTTTATTTCTCCCCAAAGCCCCAGTAGATAGTTGTATGTCATAGCTGCACATCCTTCTAGTTGCTGTATGTGGGACACGGCCTCAGCATGGCTGGAGAAGCTGTGCGTCGGTGCACGCCCGGGATCCGAACCCCGGCCGCCTGCAGCGGAGCGCACGCACTTAACCGCTAAGCCACCGGGCCGGCCCTAGACCGGCAACTTTGTACTGTGGCAGTCACTAGTTACATGTGGCTATTTGAAGGAAAATTAATTTAAAAATTAACAATTCAATTCTTCCACCACATTATAGGCACATTTCTAGTGCTCAGTAGCCATGTGTGGCTGGTGGATAGCTATTCTATTGGATAGTACAGATACAGAACATTATCATTTATTACAGGAAGTTTCTATATGAGACAGCACTGTACTAGACAGCGTTTTAGGCACTGAGTATACAGCAGTGAATAAATCAAAATCACCATTGTGGAGGGTAGATTTATATTGTGGAAGAAAGTAACCTGTAAATATTTAGTTTGTTTTATGGTAATAAGTGATAGAGAAAACTAAAACTAGGTGGGGGGCATAGGGAAGACCATGAGATATTCAGGAAAGGCCTGAATGAGACGCTTGACATCTGAGCAGAGATCTCAAAGGAAGCAAGGGAGAGCTTCCAGGGAACAGCAAATGAAAGGTCCTCACATCAGGAGCATTCTCCTATATTGAAGGAAAAGGAAAGGGCAGCACTGTTACTTTATGTAGGAGGGCTTGCAGGCTATTCTAGGCCATTTTAATTCTGAATGAAATGTGAGATTTGAATAAAGATGTAACATGCTCTGGTACACTTTTTTAAAGGATCATTCTGGCTTCAGGGTGGAGAATAGACTGCAGAGAGCAGTGAGACCACTTAGGAGACTGGAATATTCCAGGCAAGAGGTGATGGTGACAGAGACCAGAATTTGCTCATGAATTAGATGTGGAGTATGAGAGAAAGTGAGGAGTTAGGATGATCTGAAGGTGTTTGGCCTGAGCAGTGTGAAAAATGAGTTACCGTATGCTGAGATGTGGAAAGCTGCAGGAAAAGTCGGCTTGGGGATGGACAATATCAAAATCATTTTATGTTAGTTTTGAGAAAGTCTATTGGATATCCAGATGGAGGTGTCATATAAGCAGTTGGATCTACAAGTCTCGAGTTTGGAGAGGTTGCAGCTGGAGATAGAAATTTGGAAAGAGGGCCGGTCCCCTGGCTTAGCGGTTAAGTGCGCGCACTCCGCTGCTGGCGGCCTGGGTTCGGATCGCGGGCGCGCACCGACGCCCCGCTTTTCCGGACATGCTGAGGCCGCGTCCCACGTACAGCAACTAGAAGGATGTGCAGCTATGACATACAACTATCTACTGGGGCTTTGGGGGAAAAAATAAATAAAATGGTTAAAAAAAAAAGAAATTTGGAAAGATACAGGATAAGGATAGCTATTTTAAGCCATGACATTAGATGTTCTTTCTTCCAAGGGAGTAGACTATAGATAGAAAAGATGTTCAAGGGCTCTGGCTTGGGCCACTCCCAGCATTTGGAGGTCAGAAGATTAAAAGAAACCCTTCAAGGAAATAGAAAAGATAGGAAAACCAAGAGAGGAGTGCCCTGGAAGCCAACTGAAGTGTTTCAAGGAGCGAGTTAGTGATAGGTCAAGTAAGAATAGGATTGAGATTGGATTAATCAAAGTATGGAGGTCATTGGTCACTTGCCAAGAGTGATTTCCTATAATGATGAGGATGAAAGCCTGGTTGGAGTGCTTTCAAGAGAGAAAGTAGAAGCACTCTTTCAAGGAGTTGTACTATAGAGAAGAGCAGAGAAAAGGAGTGGAAGCTAGGAGGAGATTAGTTGACAAACTCTTAGTAACATCTTTAATTGACTAAGTGCTTCTATTTATGTAGTCTTACTGTAATTTCACAGCAACCTGGGACATAGACATGACAGTTAAATCAGACATATCCTCTCATTTTATAGATGATAAATCTAGGATATTAGTGATTTAGAAGGTTCACATCAATACTTGCTCCTGTCTTTTCAACCAAGACCATACTAATTTCTACTAGGCAAGATTCTAAGAAATCTAATTCTGGCTGTACCATAATGTTGGGAGGATTTTAAGTAAATCGTTATTTTTCTCCTCTTTCTGACATCTTTTAATTAATATATTTATTCTTGCCCTTATCACTTAGAAATGTAGTAAAGACTAGTTATTGTGTTTGTGAATGTAACTGTATTTCTTTAAAGAACATATGAGATAACTTTATCTGCATTTATCAAGAATGATAACACTCCAAAAAACTTAGGAAACGGTGATTAAGTTGCTTGTTGAATAGCTTTATTCATGGATCGTTTAGTCACAATAAGGAACAGCTGTTGAAGATTAATCAGAAATTAAGATAAATTAAGATTAATTAATTAACAATGGCATGCCTTTGTTTAAAATCTTTGAGCTACATGTCTAAGAAGAAAGCACTTAGCTTTCTTTAATTACCTTTCTATTCTTACATAAAAGTGTCTTGGGAGGAAAGAAAAATTGAGCATTACGGATAAATACATTCAAGTCATTAGCCTAAATCCCTGGTTCTCAAGCTTGTGCATGCATCAGAACCACCTGGAGGACTTGTTAAAACACAGATTTCTGGCCCCACCTAAGAGTTACTGATTCAGTAGAGCGCAGGTGGGGACTGAGAATTTGCATTTCTGATAAGCTTACTGGTGATGCTGATAGGCTTAGGCAACATACTTGGACAGCCTTTAGCCTAAGTTAATGCCTTTTGCTGAAGAAGTCGAGACTGACAAGGGTTTTGCCATATTGGCAAAAGTTGCCCACGTTTGAGGGTTGAAACGTTTGATCTAGCAAAAACCATACAGTGAAAAAAAAGTCCTAGATTCCCAGTGTTTCACAATAATGCCTCTTAAGAATTTCTTTTGGGTCTGGCCTGGTGGTGCAGTGGTTAAATGCTCGAACTCCGCTGCGGTGGCCCGGGGTTCGCCAGTTTGGATCCCTGGTGTGCACCGACACTCTGCTTGTCAAGCCATGCTGTGGCGGCGTCCCATATAAAGTGGAGGAAGATGGGCATAGATGTTAGCCCAGGGCCAGTCTTCCTCAAAAAAAAAAAAAAAAAAAAAAGGAGGATTGGTAGATGTTAGCACAGGGCTGATCTTCTCATGAAAAAAAAAATTTTTCATCTTTGTGACCTACCATATACGTTCAGAGAGTGACAGGATCACTATTGTGGCCTCAAGTAACTCATTAGTTATGGGTAATGCTAATTGTAAATGTCACTTGTAGTTTGTAACAACAGGTTTGTCTCAAAATACATTTTTGGAAAATTTACTTTATACTGATTAATAAGACTGTTGCATAAGCTTTACTTAATTCAGACTTGACATTTCTCTGAATTGAGTAGGGCTGTTAGTTCATTGCTGATAATTCAAGCCAGATTATATGGTGAACTTGAAATAATGTTTCTGAGCCCTTATTAGGTGTTAGACATCCTGCCAAGTGCTTTTCATATATACTATTTTATTTAATCCTAAAAACGACCCTGTAAGTTAGGTACTACTACATAGGTGAAGTAAACTGAGGCAAAGGATTCATCCAATCTCACATAGCTAGTAAGCAGCGAAATTGGGAATTGAATCCAGATAGTCTCATCATAGAAGCAGTCATTCTTAACCATTGTACTAAGTGGTCTCTGAGTAATTTGAAATTGCTTTTTAGAAAACTTGTATGAAGCACTTCTGTGTATCTGATGGAAGTTTTGTTTTGTTTTTTAAATGTTAGGTGCATAAAGAGACAATAGATGCTGTACCAAATGCAATACCTGGGAGAACAGACATAGAGTTAGAAATATATGGTATGGAAGGTATTCCAGAAAAAGACATGGATGAAAGAAGACGACTTCTTGAACAGAAAACGCAAGGTAAATATTAAGGTGTATGCTTTTTTTCTTAATACAGCTTCACGAGTGAGAGTATTACTACTACTTTCAAGTATAAATTTAATGGTAGATGTTAGATTTATTCAGAATTCCAGTTTTGAGCTCTACTTTTTTTTGTCTTATGTTTATTTATTTATTTTTTTTTTAAAGATTTTATTTATTTATTTTTCCCCCAAAGCCCCAGTACATAGTTGTCTGTCATAGCTGCACATCCTTCTAGTTGCTGTATGTGGGATGCGGCCTCAGCATGGCTGGAGGAGTGGTGCCTCGGTGCGCACCCGGGATCCGAACCCGGGCCGCCGGCAGCGGAGAGCACGCACTTAACCGCTAAGCCACGGGGCCGGCCCTTGTCTTATGTTTAAAGTTGTATATTTGATTTGTATATATGAATACCATTTGGGTCATTCCAAACATTTTATTATGTATTTTTATTCATAATTGAATTCCAAGTGGAATTAGTAAATATTGAGGCGTTTTAAAATGAAGGCAGCTTGTTTTGATTTATGTAAGCCTAATTGTAAATTTTTTTTTTTAGTACTATTATTTAACTTGGAATTTGAAACCATGTACTATCCAGATGATAGAAGCTATTATCTATTACCTATGAAATTTTTTGGTTTGAAAAGCATTATAGGAGGGTGTCAGACCTCTTTGCCATAGTTTACCTTTTGAGATGGACTAGAAAGCTGTTTTTTAAAATAAAACTTGACTTAGGATAATTGTTTTTAGTTGTCATTGGTGAGGGAAAGGATGTTAACCTTTGCTTAATATAGATTGAAAACACATTTGAAGGGTAAAGAACAGTATTAACTGAGTTTTTCTGGAAAAATCTCAGCTCATTGCACTGAAATGATTTTTTTAAATGTCGAATATCTTAAACTTGCTTAGTTTTTGTTTTTTTACTCTATGGGAAAAATTAATTAAGACTGTTTTAGCAGAGAGTCAAAAAAAGAAACAACAAGATGATTCTGATGAGTATGATGATGATGACTCTGCAGCTTCAACTTCATTTCAACCACAGCCTGTTCAACCTCAACAAGGTTATATCCCCCCAATGGCACAGCCAGGCCTACCACCAGTTCCGGGAGCACCGGGAATGCCTCCAGGTAGCACATAAAGTTTCTTACAGTTTAACATTCTTAGGACTTTATTGATGTAGTGTAGAAGTATTAAATTCTTCCTCCTAACCCTGTAATATTAATTTGTGATTTTTTGGTTGAAATTCTTGTTTATAGGCATACCTCCATTAATGCCAGGTGTTCCTCCTCTGATGCCAGGAATGCCACCAGTTATGCCAGGCATGCCACCTGGGTAAGAAAACTCTTTTAATTGGCTTGTGAGCTTGTGCCTAGTAATGATCTTTTTCAACTTGGGTGTTATTTGAATTAAATGTTACTTTGCATTTCTTTGCTTCTAAAAGGTATGGGCTCTATAAATATTAAATTTGTCTCATAAGGGGGTCTACCAATAAATTTAAGGAATATAAATTTGCCTCTGAAGAGAATAGATTTTGGGGTTTTAGGATGTTTGTAGGCAGCCATCTGCTTCAATTGCATCTGATGTAATTAAAGTAGTTGGTTATAGAGTTGAGTTTCTGAGGTTTGGAACTGTCCATGACACTTTGTAGTTGTGACAAGAAGCAAACTCTGTAAATGATTTATTTGTCAAATCATCAAGAACTAAAATGAATATGAGGTGCTCGTGCCCATCACTTTTACTTAAATATTGTTGGATGTGAGAGGTATACAGTACACTTTCCCACTGTATTTTGAAAATCACAGTTAGATTTTGATTTTGTCATACATTTTCACAGATTGCATCATCAGAGAAAATACACCCAGTCATTTTGCGGTGAAAACATGTAAGCATCTCATTCATAATGTAATTCAGGAGGTATAATCATAATGTCATTTTTTTTGTGTGTTTAATGGTATCTATCCAGTTGACTTCAGAAATTTTCTAACCTTCCTCACTAAAACTTCTAAAATTTACAAGGTGATTGACACAGATCTCTTAAAGGAGGGAAATAAAACATCTGTGAGGAAATAGTAATAGACCCATATAAATCATTTTTTAAATATGCAGCTATTTTCCCCAAACTGCTAAAAGTAATGGGACTTAGTAAAAAGGGTTGGTATTTAAGAAAGGTATATATTTTGCCAAATTACCTGCTTTGTTATTGTAGAAGGTAATTGAATTTTCTTCTAATGAAATCTATATAGGGAACTTTATCCTCTGATAAAAGTCCTAAATCACAAATTGACAAACTTGTCATTTTTAAAGTGAATTGAACACTGATATTTGAAGGTGAGCTCTTTTAGGGGAAGGAAAATAAATATGGGTTATGTTTTTAAGTCATAGTTTAGTGTTAGGTAGCTATTCTAAATAAAAATTGGGCAATCTGAGTTTACTCTTGACTATCTTTAATTTTCATGGTACTTTTTCATTGCCCCTTCAAAAAAAATCTTACTCCACAGTGTACATTCAATATTTTCCTTGTGAAAAATCTGATGACTCTAAAATAGAGATTTCTTCTTTTTTATTTATATTCTGTGTAGATATTTTACAAGTGAGACAAAAGGTGATTTTGCTTTCCAATCACACACATTTTATATGGGGCCTCTTGTCTATAGTAAGGAGAGTATGATATTTGTTCTCAACAACTTTACGTGTATTAAGATGTTTTGTCAACAGAGACTGAAATTTTTTCCCCCTTTTACTGGTAAACCCAAGAGTTTGCTGGTCTTAAGAGGATTTATATTGATAGGATTGTTGTAGTGTGTTGTGTGTTTTTTCAGCCTGGTTGATTTGATTGATTTCGATATTAGGGGTCAAATTCAAATCTTATAGCTATTGTTTCAGGCTTTAGCCAGAATATTTTCTAGTGGTTTATACTGTTAATTAACTTCAGTTGTTTCTTGAAATTTGCTTTCTAATAGAATGATGCCAATGGGTGGAATGATGCCACCTGGACCAGGAATACCACCTCTGATGCCTGGTATGCCACCAGGTACGAAATGTTGGACAATTGCCTTTTTAATAGGACTGGCATACTTTATTCTGAAGTATTTTAGACAATAGGTTTGTGGGCATTGTTTTGTTGTTTTTTTATATATATATAATTTTATTTATTTATTTATTTTTCCCCCCAAAGCCCCAGTAGATAGTTGTATGTCATAGTTGCACATCCTTCTAGTTGCTGTCTGTGGGCCGTGGCCTCAGCATGGCCGGAGAAGCAATACGTCGGTGCGCGGCCGGGATCCGAACCCGGGCCGCCAGCAGCGGAGCGCGTGCACTTAACCGCTAAGCCACGGGGCCGGCCCATGTGGGCATTGTTGCGATGTAGTTTTTAAATTTTCGTAAGTTGATGACTTCTTTTTAAAAGTACTGTGAGGGGGCCGGCCTGGTGGCATAGTCGTTAAGTGTGCATGCCCCACTTCAGTGGGGCCCGGGGTTCATGGGTTCAGATCCTGGGCGCAGACCTGTGCACCACTCATCAAGCCATGCCATGGCAGCATCCCATGTACAAAGCAGAGGAAGATTGGCGCGGATGTTAGCTCAGGGACCATCTTCCTCACCAAAAAATAAAAGAAAATTATTGTGAGAAGTGTCATAATGGACCCTTTTTTTGAGTTTTGAAATAGACAGTAAGAAGAGTAGGCTTCAAAGCAGCCAAGATGAGTGGTCTGTGCATTGAAGCTCATATACTTAAGAGTGATTGTATTCGTTAGGAATATTTTAGCTGAGTAATGGAGACTCTTAGCAAGTAATAGAAAAATCCAACAAACTGTATTACACAATGTAGGCATTTATCATCTCACTCAAGAAAAAGAAAAGTGGTAGATTCAGTGGCTCTGTGATATCAAGAACCCATGCTTTTTAAAGTTTCCCGTTTGCTAACTTTAGCTTTTATCCCTCAGACATGTCACTCAGTGGTTACAAGATGACACAGGCAAGAAAGGGTGTCAACAGTAATGTGCTGTCCTTTTTTTTCTTTTGGGGAGCAAAATAACTTTCCCAGAAGCTCCTTAGCCCCTTACATATCATGGCCAGAAATAGGTTAATGGACCCTCTAGCTGAGAGGGAGCCTGGAAAATGAAGTACAGTTGTGTGCTGCATAGTGACATTTCAGTCAATGACAGTGATACCATAAGATTTAGTACCATATAGCCTAGGTGTGTAGTAGGCTATACCCTCTAGGTTTGTGTAAGTACTGTAGAGGAGGAAGAAATTTTTCTCCACCCTTCTAGGTTCTTTTGGCTGGTCTAAAAATTAAATTGACATGGGACAGATTAACAGAAGAAAAACAGACAAAAGTTTAATAACATATATACAAAGGAGAAACCCAGGAAAACCCAGTAATTTGCTAAAATGGCTGAAGCCCTCAGCTTAAATAGCATCCTCAGCTAAAGACAAAATATGATGTTGTGGGTGGGGGGAGTCAGGGACTTGAAAGGGAAGAAAGGCAATTTACAGGTAGGTAAAAAGGAGCAAACATTTGGAAAACAGGTGTTTGGCCATGCAGAAACAGGAGAATACAGGGGAGCCTAACAAACAGGCTTTTCTCAGTCCTCGCTGTTTACCACCTAGTTCATGTTGTGCTAAAGTGATGGCTTGCTTCCTGAGACAGATTTTTTTAATCTGAATTCTTTTAGGCAATTGAGGGGGAGGTAACAGGAAAAACTTTGAGTCTTTTTTTTCTTAAAAATCATCAGCCTAAAATAATCCTCATGTTAGAGACGACACGTTTTGGGGTAGCAAATTTTGTTCCCCTTCACTTCACTCTTTGATGTTCTCACAACAGCGAATTTCTCAGAATGTGTCCTTGTCATTAAGTGAGGCATGACTGTATCTTGGCCTTTAGCCTATAATGTAGGGAAAGGGATTTGGTTAGCCAATTAGTGTGCCCCAAATAAGAGGCCTTTTTCATGAGCCTCCCTGGATTGGTTGCCTTACTTTTTATACTTGATCCTAGCAAGTTTGGTTTGCAATCCATAGCAGATGTAGAAGTACTCAAGTGATAGTTGGTGTAAAAAGACACAGGAAAAATAAAGCAGAAGCAAAATTTGAACCATTGCCAGTGCAGCCATTAATTTTAGGCAACAACTCCACATACATTATGCTCTGAGATAATTTAGGCATTTAAAGGAGTATAGAATAGTAACGGATGTTCATTTGATACTGTGAAGTCGGTAAAAGTTTTGAGGAAGTTGAAAGAAAGCACTAGTGATGCATTTTAGGAAAATTTATTTAAAGGATTTAAAGGAATTAACTTAGTTTTCTGGGAAAATTGTTCTGGGTGTATGACTTACCAAAGTTTTTACTGTAATTTGCATTAGAGTTCAGAGAACATCTATCTGTTAGATGATTGAAATAATTCTCTTATATGTTTCAGAGTTTGCTAAATCAGTGATATCAGTAAGCTTAATTACTGCTTTGCCCATATGCAGAGTCTTTAGTGATATCTTTCACTTCCCAAAATTCTAGAGAGATACCAAGGCATAGAAAATTTGAGGCAAGATTGTTCCAAGGGGCAAATGCCTAATTTCCTTGGACTTCATTAGTTCAGCAATCATTAGTAATTTTATAGTACAGAAGCATTTTTAATATGGTATATTTTAACAGCAAAGTTTTGGAAAAATATTCTTTATGAACTAAATGTTTCAACAACTGGGTCCCCCGTAACATTTCTTCTCTACAGGTATGCCCCCTCCTGTTCCACGTCCTGGAATTCCTCCAATGACTCAAGCACAGGCTGTTGCAGCACCAGGTATTCTTAATAGACCACCTGCACCAACAGCAACAGTTCCTGCTCCGCAGCCTCCAGTTACTAAGCCTCTTTTCCCCAGTGCTGGACAGGTAAGGTGAAATTCCTGAAAAGGAGTGCACTTAAAATTAAAGGTAAAGCAGTTGTTTACAGAAACCTTTGAAATTGTCATAAGTAAATTTAAAAAATCTTTTTAATGTATTAAATATACTAAGAAGTAGCCTATTTTCTTCCATGTTTGCCCACATTGATTTCCTCTACTCATAAAAGATTGGCTGGAGCCAGAGATAGTGTAGTATGATGTTTTTTTCATAGCTGTGAACTCTGGTTAGTCTTAGTTTTAGTTAGAAATGAAAATTTAATTTTTGATACTTATTCATGGTAATGTTTTGAGATCCTCCTTTACCTGTTGAACTATGAGTAGAATGAAACCAAAGCCAAAGATGAAAATCCTAAGATCTTAGCAAATGATTTGTTGGGCTCTTCCTCTAGTCTAGAACAGTGACAAACTACAATGCTGCGCTCTTGCTGGAAGGGCATCATTTAATGGCTTTTGACCTAGTCACACTTACATTTCCTACCGGTCTGGTCTTTTCAGAACTCAGAAGGGAAAGATGCTTCTGTTATATAATGCGTATAATGTTTGTTCCTTTTTTTTTTTTTTTTTTCTTTTCCAGTTTCATTCAGAATTAAGTAAATGTATTTAATTCATTCAGAATGAATAAGAATTAGGATGTGTGTCCTTTCTTTTTCACTTTAACAGACTTTTTTTGAGGAAGATTGGCCCTGTGCTGACATCTGTTGCCCATCTTCCTCCTTTTTTCTTCTTTCTCCCCAAAGCCCCCATACATAGTTGTGTATCATAGTTATAGAGTTGTAGCTCCTCTACGTGGGACGCTGCCTCAGCATGGCTTGATGAGCTGTGAGTAGGTCCGAGCCCAGGATCACAACTGGCGAACCCCAGGCCGAAGCGGAATGCGTGAACTTAACGGCTACGCCACTGGGCCCGCCCCTCTTTTTCACTTTAAAATTATCCCTTAGATGTTTTCTTTTTTCAGTTCTTTTTTCTGTTTGTGGTTGCTAAATTAAAAAGCATTATCTTAAATGCCCTTGAAGGTGTGTGGGGATTTTGTTTATTGGGAGATGTTAAACTTTTGGCAAAAATCTTTTGTAGAGTTATTGTTAGAGAATTGGATTGAAGTGTCAGTAATAATGCATCCTTATTTTTACTTGAAGTTATTTTTAAAATCTCAGTACAAAACAACATTGGGTTTTTTAAAAGAAACTGTGGTTAACTAGATTTATTGGTGTAGAATTAAAAATTTTTTTTTTGAGGCTCATACTGTCACTTCGTATATCTTAAATTCATTAATTGCTTGCCTCTTTAAATAAATCAGATTTGATTGCATTATATTTTGCGTTTACAAAGATGCAATCTATACTAAAAAAGTCTACCACATGGCTTATTTTCACCCATTTGTTTGGAGACTTTTCATTGTTTCCTTTCTTTTATGCTACAGATGGGGACACCTGTAACAAGCTCAAGTACAGCTTCATCCAATTCAGAAAGTCTGTCTGCATCTTCTAAAGCTCTGTTTCCTAGCACAGCACAAGTACGCAGGAAGTTGCAGTTTAAAATTGTTAAAATGGCTTTATAACTTAACCCTTTGGACCCTTAAAACTAAATCTTTTCCCAAAAATATATTATGTTTAATTTTTTTTAAAGTGAAATTAATGGTATATAAATCAATGGTATTTGAAAATTTGATGTCATACTATTAGAAAAATATATGCCCCAAACTTCTATGGTTCTAAAGGGTTAAAAGCATGTAAGCAGTAAATGCGTTGTAGTGGCCAATGGTTAGCCTGATGCATGATTAAGCTATTTTGATTTATGCTGTTTAATCTAATGCATCACATATAATGTAAGGAAATTTAGTGCTCTGCATTTAATGCTAAAGTTGGCCTAGTCTACGTTTCAGATGTTTGGTATTATGAAAAGTAACACATTTATTACTGGTAACTTTTTACTTGAAAGATCCTACCAAACTCTCTTGTCCATGATAATCATCCAGCCATTGTTAATTCAGAGGGCCTTGTATTACTATATAAAGAATAACTCTGAAGGACATACCTTTAATGTGTCACCATTGATATTAACTGTTCATGTTAATGCTTAGTAACTGGAATTTATCCAGACGTTTGTATTCTGTAATTTCTAACTTTTTTTTTTTTTTTTAGCTGCTTGGTAGATTCATTACTTTAAACAACTAGTTTAGAATAGTAAAAATAGAACATATGCTATTCCGCTTTATGATACTAGATTTCATCGATCTGGAATAAATACAAAGCTTTGTAAATTAAGTAACTTTTGGTGAGGAGGTAGATGACATCTGAGAAGTTATATATGTAGTCTTATTTGTTTCTTGTTACCACTGCTGTGTTTTGGATGTGACTTTGGTTCAGCATCTTTTGATATTTCTATATGTTGTCCTAAATTTTGTGGAGCATTTATCATGTTAACTTTGTTTTAATTTCATTTAAAGTTTGATCCTTTCTTAAATGTTGGTATCTTAGTTTTAAGTAAATTGGTAGTAGATATACTCAACAATTTTGGGTTTTGAAGTTTGGTTGATGAAAGATCGTGTTTTACAGGCTCAGGCAGCTGTGCAAGGACCTGTTGGTACAGATTTCAAGCCCTTAAATAGTACCCCTGCAACAACTACAGAACCCCCAAAGCCTACGTTCCCTGCTTATACACAGTCTACAGCTTCAACCACTAGTACAACAAATAGCACTGCAGCTAAGCCAGCAGCTTCAATAACAAGTAAGCCTGCTACACTTACAACAACCAGTGCAACCAGTAAGTTGATCCATCCAGATGAGGATATATCACTGGTAAGTTGTTTACGGGTTTTTACTAGCAGAGTTTGATTGACTATCATTGTAGCAAGTTGTCCATTTGAAAACTGTTAGTGTACACTGACGGTCTTATGATCTGATTTAATGCTTACCAAGTGGCTGTTACCATTCTGATTATTAAGAACCACGAAATAAAGTGAATATTGCATGTTTTGCTCTTAGATACATTCCCTCCCCTTCCCCTCCAGACTATTTCTAAAAGAAGACAGTAAAGTTGGGTTTTTACTCTCTTAAAAATCATTTTTGACATAGATTTGCATAAATTAATTGAAGAAACAGTTAAGTGTGAGGTAGAATCTGCAGATCCCTCAAAGCCCATATACCTTCTTCACTAGACAATTTCTTTCTTTCTTTCTTTTTTTTTTTTTTTTT